AAGCAACTATAATTTTAAAGAAGAAAATGAATCGGCATGACTAGAGAAATGTTAGGAAAACCCACATCACTCTCCCCACAAACACAGGCTTTCTTGTGACTACCTTTGGGGATCCCGAAACTAAGTTTCTCTTCTTTTAATTATAGCCCTATTGCTAATTTTTAAAACATTCCTCTGAGCAAAACCACTTTAAGCGTTTGCAGGAATTCAGTCATCATCTGAAAAAACAGGTTCAACTTCAAGCTTCCAAGTACCTAGTCGTAAAACCAGAAATGAAACATGATTAGCTCTGTAAACATCTGAAAAGCTCTCAGATGAGTAAAGGCAAACATTGCTCTTCAATGAAGAGGGAGGTAGGTCTTTTGTACCATAAAAAGAAAACAGTGCTATGGTAAGGCTGCTGGTAACCTTTGGAACCGAAAGAGAAACATTTGTAAAGTTTACAGAAGTACGTAATGAAATTCAGACATAATAAGTAGGTCAAAATTTGATCCAAGTGACCACTCAGTGTCTTTTGGAGAGTTTTGTATAACTCTAGACTGATCTGTAAGGGGCATATGAGAGGCAAACAGACTCAAACGTATGCAAAATATTCACAAGCTCGTAATACCCAAGGCACACTTTAGCTTCCTAAAAATTGCTAACAAACTTAGCAATAAGGAAGACAGGAAAGACAGAAAATACTACAACAGCAGCAACATTGTTAAGCTGCCCTATTAGTGATATTGCTTGTTCAACGCAATTGACCACCAGAGTTCAGGGAAAAAAACCCAGGACTTTCCAGATACCGTGTGTTTTCTCTCTGATCTTCACATCCAAGCTATGCATCAAACTACTTTTGGGAAAGAAGGGGAGGTAAGGTTAAATGGTCTGTGACGGCCGATGCCGGTTGAAATAATTTAGAGATTAAGAAAAAAAAAGAAAAAAGAGAAGAGGAAGTACAAGGAGGTTACACTTTCTCAGCAGAACGTGAAATCGAGATAATATTCTCGAACAGGAAGCTGGCAGGCGCCCCGCAGACCATGTAACCGAGCGGGGAGCGGCACCCACCCTCGACACAGCGTGGGGGGCTCCGGGATGAGCCCCGCTCCTCGGGAAGGACGCCGGCCGCGTCCCGCCGACCCCGTCCCGCCGGCAGCAGCCCGCCGCCCGCC